ATTATTTGAGTCTGTCAAGAGATACTCTTAGTTTTCTTGATTTAGCCTTTTTAAGGTCTTGCTATAATATTTGTTGTCAGTTTTTTGTGACTTCAAAAGCTACCTTGATGCTTTCTTGGTGGATACATTCATCCAAATTTCCAAGTTCCAACTTGCAAATATGAGATAATTTTGAGTGTTAGTCTAGTATGTGAGAAAGCCCACTTCTGCTACAGTTACATTTCAATAAGTGTCCGTCTCTAGTGTATCCAGGATCATTTTTCTTTTTAGATATCTTAAAACTGTTCTATTGTGGCTAAATGGATCCAAAATACAATTATTCTTCTTGGAAATCCATAGTGCTTTTACATCAGATATCCAAAATATATCTTGCTCTTTCAGTTCTCTGCTTTTAAACTATTGTTTTAACACTGGATCCTTTTCAAATTTTCAGTTTTCGGTTTAACCTAATTTAATGATCTCCTAGTGTAAATCTTCTGCAAAAAAATTGTCCATATAAATTCTCTTTTGATGTTATGATGAACTTGAAAGGCCGTCTATGTAACCTTGGATTAATCACAAAAATTATACTCATTTAATATATGCATGTAATGTGATTTTGCATTTAATAGAACTTCTGCTTGGTGGAAACCTGAATTTTGCAGCCTAGAAATGTTTTATGATGCAGGGTAATGAGCTCATTGCCATATAATATCAGCAGGAAATCCGCAGAGTGTGGCACGCCTGGATCTGAAGGTGTGAATTTTTGCATAACTTCGGCAGGACCTAGTCCTCTCCAAGCTATCCACCAGCACAGCTAAGGACTGTTAATGCGAGAACGAAAACCAAAGTTACATTTCTATTTTAGATATGTAAGGAGCCTTCATCAGCGTGTATGTTTGTTCTTATTTATAAGTTCAATTTTTTTAATGTCAGGTCTTTGCTTTTTGTTCAGTTTATTAGAGATTCATATATTTGTTTTTCACGCTCTTTTGATCCGGATCTTTCTTCAGACACTTCAAACAGGAAGTTTTTCCCACTTCTGCCTGTTGTGATACAAGTATTACACCTACTTTGCAAGTGCAATTTTGTTCCTGTACTCTTTGTTCATTTATTTGTGGTTAAAACCCCATTTTCGGTCCTCAACTAATGTGGGGAGTCCCTTTTTGGTGGCTAAACTCGAAAAATTCCCCTTTTAGTCCTTAAAACCTTTTTTTTTTTTTTTTGGGGTTTTTTAAGTCCATCCTATCCAAGTGCTGATATGGCAATATAGTTCATTAAATATTTTGTTTTTTTTTTCTCTTTTTAAATGATTTGTAATTACACAAATACAAATGGTTGGACTTGCAAAAAACTCTTTCCATGCAGTCAATGGGGTCCACTAAAATTAAACTAAATAGTGATGTCATCCTAAAATAAGATCAGGTCTTCACCATTAGGAAATTAAGATTACGTTTTTACCATCATCTTCTTCCCTTTTCTTTTTCCATTTCTGTCCTCATCTTCTTCTCTAACCCTAATTACCTGTCCTTTTGGTATATTGAACCTAATCCCCATCTTGTCCATCAACTTTCATGTTCTCCTATGCGATCTCCTCTTCTCCGACCCACTTCTTCCATCAAAGCCGTCAAATCCTCACATTAATCTTTAGCTCCAATGCCTATCCTTT